TGTTTCAATTTTTTTACAGGAAAGGTAAGTATTAAAGGCACTAAATCTATTCTAGTTAAACAACTAGTTAAAAAACCCAAAACGTCTGGACAATTTGATGTATTTGATTATGACATAAAATGCACGAGGGTTTGTTCACATCGGACAGAATAGCAAAATAGGAAGTATATAATGCATCAATTTTACCATATTAAGCGAACAGAATCACTTTACATTTTGTGAAAAAGTGGGAATTTTTTTTTAAACTTTTACTATTTATGGTGACGTAGTCATTTTAAGGCGACAATTTAACAACTAGAGCGTGCTTCGTGGTCTCATAAAGCTACCCCGGGGGGCACTCGCCTCGGAACTGGGTAGGGGGTGCCTCGGGGACCTTGAAAACCTAACCTTGTCGCAAACCGCTTGGCGCCCGAAAATGCACCATGTCCCAATATACTGCACTAAAAAGTATACCGTTGCAATATTGCACATTTTAGTTATGTCCTGTCCTGCCAATATAGGCAGATATTGGTCCAATATCGGCATGGTGATATTAGCCCAATATTGTTTTGCCAATATTGGGCCGATATTGGACCAATATCTGCCTATATTAAACCAATATCTGCCTATATTGGTCCAATATTGTTTTGCCAATGTTGGTCCAATATCAGCATGATGGGTGTATATCTAGATAACCCTGTGCCAATATCGATATTGGGAAAATATACCCTAGCTGTGCCAATGATGTTCGGAAAATATACCCTGTCCAGCGGCACGTACGTCCCCAGTACCTTTAACAATAGGAGTGTCTCCCCCTTCCGGGAAAGCTACCAAGTTATACGCTATGCCCATTTACCATGAAACGGTGAACAAACTATATAGAACGCACGAGCCGCATGCTATACTTACTTAGCATTAGAAGAGCGGCGGTTGCGATTCCGTTTGCCCATGCCGTCAGTGCGTTGCTAGTACCGAATTCCTTGGTGAGTACGGGGAGAAACACACCGAATGCCTTTAGTTGAGCTACCGATAGAAAATGTACGAGGAATCCTCCGCAGGCACACAGCCAGCCCCATCCTCCATCTGGTGGTGGTTTGTCTTCACTGTTTTTTCTAACCATCACCAATTTCCTTTGTGTTCCACAAGAGAATTTCTTTTCTGCTCGCGATCGCTGCTGCTGTCCTATTTGGTGACGTACAGTAAGATGGCGTGGTCGCTATACTTATGTCATTCGTGATAACGTCTACCATCTCTGTGAGGACTTGTCTGATGAATCATGGCTCGATCAGTTTGATCACTGTTACAGTTTTACAGGGTGCGCGTCGTACTACGCTTACCATCAGTCGTTATCGCTGTAGCTACCGTATTCAATCTTACGTGCAGGAATTTAACAGTTGTCGTCGGCTGCATCAAAAACTGTCGTTGCACTTCGCGCAATGAATAGCGCTAAATGCTGCGCAGAGCGATATATCCAGCTTGCAGTCACCCACGCATACAAATATGTGAAGCACATCTATGTGCGAACATATGCATGTGTCTATATTATATGTCTGACTAGCGCTGCTGTGCCGATCTTCGGTACCTCTACCGAACATTAGTCCATAAGTGAGATAAAGTAACGGCAGTCCTGTTGCGAAGTAGGATAGTGACATTCCTACTCCAGCGATGATTGCACCGGGTATAGCAACTGTCCTGTAGGAGTATCTGTGACACAGACCCGTAGACAACGGCGCTACCGACAAAAAATATAGTCATCCGTAACCGACGACGTGAGCCGACAAATTGCGATATTCCGTTCAATAGACTAAGACCAAGAGACAGAAAATGACAAAAGTCAGCTTGAACATATTAGCTAGGTAACTATAACGTTGCCTTTTTGCCTTACCGTGCCAGCCCCCCCCCGAAAATTATGTCTGTAATCTTTTAAAAGACAAATAAAGAAATGTATTTTTTATTGCAACGACCTTATCGAGGAGAGCACGAGTTATTGTGACGAACGTACACCTAATCACGCGCGATGTGCGCTGAAATGGCTTACATCTTATGGGGGACACACTATCATACGTGTCACTTACTCAACATGAAAAAGACAGCGTTTCCGATTCCGTTTGTCCATGCCGTCAGTGCGTTGCTAGTGCCGAATTCTTTTGTGAGTACGGGGAGAAACACACCGAATGCCTTTAGCTGAGCTGCTGATATGAAATGTACGAGGAACCCTCCGCAGGCACACAGCCAGCCCCATCCTCCATCTGGTGGCGGTTTGTCTTTACTGATTGTGCCAACCATCTCTAATGCTTGCGCTTGTTCTCTGCTGGATAATGTACGTGGTCTTCTTGGTCAGATTTCTTCGGTGACGTTATCCGATAGACGGTCCACGCTTCTTTCGGTGACATAGTTTGTGATGATGTAACCTCAGGTGCAATTGTCTCGAGTCAGGTATGCCATGTTAAACCGCTGCTACGATCTTCACAAGCAAGCGAAATGCCTGGAAACTCATGGTAGCTGTATCATAGTCGATATACTATCGCAGTTATACGAGGTGTGTCATACTGTCCTTTACCACCCGTTTTTGTCACGATAGTCACTATTGTTTGGTGATAATGGCTGTATAACGACGTTCGCCGTACGACGCTGTGCAAAATGATCTGCAGAGCTATACGAATTTGACCGTCACCTACATCTTCCTACGATCTTCACATGCGCTCGCCCCAAGCACGTGTCCAATATGTCTGACATACGCAGCTGTGTCGGTGTGCGCCACCTTTGCTTGCGCCATATAATCAAGAGCATATAAAGAAGGTATATTCTTTATACGCTCTTGATATAATCCCACGATACGATAAGGTAGGTCAGCCCGTAAACATAACTACCGTCGCATTGCTAGGTGAACGGGAACACTTTTTTTCCGTGCACTTGACCAATATTTGACGTATTTATCATCTAGGCACGGATAGGGCCAATAGGTGAGACCACTATTTTAACATCCCCCATGCTGCTGCGTTCGATTGATCGGATAGTAGTTTCATTTTAGTGTGCATTTTTGTTTTTTAGGACTATATACTGCGAAACTTGAATTTCGAGTAGAGCGATACTACTACAGTAAAATGTATATAATCTCAACATAACGCGTGCTCGTGATTAATGATATTTCCTTATGAATATAGATGTTATCAGGAGTGAATATAATAATAGATATAATCGATAGTTATAGAATAATCTATTATTATTTGCTCCTGATGTTATCTTCGTTGGCACTGGCTCGCTGGTAGATCGCGGTCTTGTCCCGCTGGTCGCTGAACTGTAGACTTCACTCGGTACAGATGCGGATCAAATTTATGTTGAGCTGCGCAATTAAACACACGGCATACTTGCGCGTTTTCTTGACATTCCAGTACGGCTGTTGTTTCTCTTCTTGATGTCCTAACGTATAGTATGCTGCTACTAGAAGGTTAAATCTCATATGTAGCACTACGACTGAGAAGTGTTCATTCGTATGAAAGCTTTTATTGATGGTGTTGTATGAGTATGATAATTCAATTATTATACTTTAAAATAAAAAATACATAGCCAGAATCAGTTTGATATTTAACCGTACTTCTCAAAAAAATCTGTTGTAGTCGTCTACCGCTCTTGAAACCCTCGCCCAGGTGGAATGCTGATCATGTATATACAGTGCTGCGTTAAATGTGTGTATTACACCTAGTAAGACGAACGATATCTATATTTGTTCAGTCCTCCGTCGGGCAAGCAAAGGTTGTTTGTTGATACTTATAATGCGCGGTTTTGTTCCCGCGTAGATAGT